TGTAGGGAACTGAAAATTTTGCCATAGTAGTACGGAGGACAAAATTACAAACAAACTAACAAGACAAATTTTAAACGCCCTGCTAATTTGTGGGCTTTACAACAATGGTTTGAGTTGATGATGGTCTAGTAGGAACCTAACCAGATTATATTTAAGTAATGAAATCAATGATACTTCAAAACTACGATCTTTCTGTTAATTATTCAAATGATGGGTCCCATCTTCCTTATCTTTAACTCAAAAACAACCCGTCAGGCTAGCACAACTTCCAAATGGTTCTTAGGATGTCCTCTCATTGGAGCCATCATTCAAACATTTGATGCAAAGAATCCCAATTCTTCTACTGGATCATTTGAATATTGCATAAAATTCTTAAATTCTCTGTGGATCATTTGGGCGTCACATAGCAGTATTTGAAATGCTCATACTATTAAGTTGTAGCCAACCCTAAACGGTTGCAATCGGCTATTAATGATGTTTTTTTTTTCATTAAAGCGAATTATGTTTCGTAAGCACACGATATAAGTTGTCATACTAGATCAGGTGCATAACAAAAATGTAAAAGGCATCTTACCGTGCATTAATTAATATCAAGCTATGCACCATGTTGAGATTGTCAGTTAATGTCACAAATAGTTTATGCTATGCATGCAACTGCATGAATGTGCAATAGAAAGTTTTGAATTTTGTGTGAGCAGTGAATGGATAAGCATGATGGAGGCTAAATAGAATATCGTATGGCAATGATGGTGGTTCTTACTAAACTCGGTAGATTGATAATGAGGGCCAAAAACTTTTAAGACACCCAGCTCAAATGTACCCTTTAGATTTCTGCAAATGTTGCTTTTTACTCCCACAATTAAAAGTGTACTAGAGAATAGAAACTACTCCAAATTGAGCTAACAGTTCCAAGATTGCAAAATAGCACTCGTTGCACAAAATAAGAAACTTCAATGAGACTAAGAGGCTTACGATGATTGCAAAAGATTTGATTTGACTCAATGTCAGATCGGGCTTTGACCATTCTAGCTCTTTCTATGCTGTGTTGACTTTTATATTGCATCCAAATTTCATGTTTAGCTGATAATTTTTATCATATGTTATGACATCTTTCTCCTCCATGTTTTTGTCTTTTTTCTCAATTGAACATTAGAAAACTTAGTGCAAATTTTTGTGATTATAGAGGCCCAAGAATTTTTTGCATCTTGTTTTGCTTCTTCCATCTTCTGGTGGGCGTTTTGAAGAGTGTGGCCTGGCACCCAAGTATGTTACTGTCTAGTCTGTGCATGGGAATTGCTTCTACTATATATTCAATTTGTTTTGAGACCTGGATGGTAACAGAACATGAAAAGGTCTGTGTTCAGCTAAGATTCTTCAGTTAACTCTAGCTAATATTACTCTTTGAAAGATTCTATGACTCGAGTATTCTTATCTTTGCAGCAAGGTCATAAGATAAATCTGCTGAGTGATACCTTTTGGCTGATGACCTTATTTGAGTCTGCTTCTCTTCTTGGTAGTCAAGGGCTTGCAAATCTTTTAATCAAGGGTCTCGAGAGGGGGCTTCTTTTGCCATCTGCCCTTGCAGCCCTTTTGGCAATTATAAGCATTCATTATTTAAGGAAGGAATGGAATGGAAACTACCAAAATGCTACGATTGAAAATTATCAGAAGTCATTTACAGTGCGCATTTTTGCTGGTAAGCTTTTTGAATGCAGATGCAACCTGTATTTTTGTTCAAAGGCTAGTTACTCTAGTTGATTGAATGGTTAAGGAATAGTGATTCTGTCATTTTCTTTTTTGGTTTCCTCTTTTAATCTACAAGATTAAAAATTATAGAGTAGGAGAAAAAGTAAAGATGGAAACTCAGATGGATATTGTAAATTGAAGTAGATTAAGAAAAGAGTTGATTTATTTTTATGCTATTTATTATCCTCTCCACTATAGCAGTCCTACTGATCAGTTTCTTGCTTCTGCAATTGACTTAATGGTCTAATGAAATTTTGGTTTGATTGGTGGAAATGTCTTTATTCTTGCAAGCGTACGAGTTCATGCGTGCGCTTTAGGGCTATTTAGTTCGCTATAATGCAGTTTGCATTGTTATCTTGGTAATTTTATTACTCAGATAATGATGTCATTAGTGTTGTTGGTTTAATGATGTCTTCAATGATGAAATGTTATCAGATTATATCAATGGTGAGTATTTTCTTTTACCATTGTCAATTTTTTGGAACATCAGACAACCTGACATAGGGTCCGTTTGGGAGGGCGTTGGGAGCGTGGTGCAGGGAGCGGCTGCGAAGTTCGACAGTTTGGGAGCATGTCTGGGCAACGACGTTCAGCTTTTTTGGTTAAACGCGGCTCGCGGATAGAGGCCCGCAGCTCTTGTTGGAGGGTTGGCTTTTTATGGATCGAGCTCTGTTGTTCGACCTTTGACCCCGCTGTTCTACCCTAATTCCCCTCTCTTCAATCCCAATTCCCTCGTCGCACTGACGAAAGGTCCTTTGCCGTTTGACCCTGACTACCTCACTCAGCTTCCTCTTCCCCGACTCCCTCTGTTGTTCGACCCTGACTCCCTCACTCGACTCCTCTGCTCCTCTGTTGTTCGACCTCTGACGAAAGATTTTTGTTCAGGAGAATAATTTTGAAGAGATTTATTATGGAAAAATGAGATGCGTTGTGAATGCTTGTTGAGGGTTGGTCATGAGAAGTGAAGAATCTTATGATAATGAGATGATAACACTCATGCCTTTTTTGAATTGAGGAATATACTAGAAAAATACATTTGAGTGCTCTAGTATCAGGCTTATCCCAATGTTGTTTGTTGATGTGAATATAAGATTCAATTAAGATAAATGGATTAATGGATGATATCTTTCTTATTTATCTTAAGCTACTTGTATTTCTTGAGCATTGAAGATGATTTTATTTTTTTAGAAAAGGAGAGATCAATGGATATGTATTTGAATTTTTGTATTGTTAACCTCGCTTTCGGTCGAGGTGTAGTTTTCCCCTCCTTAATAGTCTAGGTTCTAGCCGTAAGACCTTTCTGTCGATTACTCCTAGAAAACTAGTGAAGAAGCCTTTTAGGATTCCGAGGTTACCGTTCGGTACGGTGTAAATCCTCCTGTCCTTTAGGCTATTTGCACAGTCTGACGTTGTGCAAATATAAGTTCTAAATCTTAAATAATTTGCAGAATTGAGGCCTGCCGGCCTTAGGATTGACTGCACTCGTTGATTTGGCACCGCTGCGCTCTTTGGTGTCTTGTTTAATCGAATTCGAGCCGAGTTTTTGACGTAATTTGGATCGCGACACGTTTTTGACCCGATCGACGATGAGGTTGCCCGGACGACTTCGAATGACGAAACGGACTGCGCTAATGCGTCCAGAACATCGATTTTGCCTAGGGGAGACGTTCGTTTCATTGCGACGTCTTATTGCGCGGCACGTCTTGAGGAAAATACATATTTAAATGTTAATTATAATAATAAATAATATTTTATTTTTATTATTATTATAATTAATAACTTATATTAAAAATCCTTAACCTAATTTCTTTTTCCCCTCCCGTTTCTTTCTCTCGCGCCCTTGGGCCTGCCTCAGCCCTAGATTGGCTCGTTCGGTTGCCCGACCCGCTCCTTCTTCGTGCTGTTGGAGGGATTCATTCCCGCGTTCGTCTCTCGCACGCGAGACAAATCTCGCAGACGCCCATCCCTCGTATCATATCTTCTGCGTTCTGAGTTCGATCTTCTGTGCCGCGGATGATATCCTCTGCCTCTCTCGATCCCTCTGTCGTATCTCTTAATCATTCTTCTCCTTCTTTATTATATGCCGAAAATTTCTAAGGGAGGAAACTCTGACATTTTCTTTTCTCACTTCTTTAAATTTCTGGTGCTTGAATTGGTTTCCTCTTGCTGTTGGAGGAGGAATTGAAGTTGGGGAGTGCTTTTAAAGTTCCTGTGTTACTTTCTTTTTACTTCGAGGATCTTAATCATTCTTCTCCTTCTTTATTATATGCCGAAAATTTCTAAGGGAGGAAACTCTGACATTTTCTTTTCTCACTTCTTTAAATTTCTGGTGCTTGAATTGGTTTCCTCTTGCTGTTGGAGGAGGAATTGAAGTTGGGGAGTGCTTTTAAAGTTCCTGTGTTACTTTCTTTTTACTTCGAGGAGGTACTTTTTTCCCCTTTTGCGCCTTGCCTCTTTACGGTTTTGCTCTCTACCGAGTATCTGTTAGCTTGGTGCAATGGATAATGTGACATGTTAGCTTAGTGTTGCACTTATATTTTTGAAAGGCATGTTACTCCAGCATCTAGAAATGAAAATGTGAGCATGTTCTAGGAGTTAGACTTGATTATTTACTTAAAGTAGTGAAGCTATGACATGTTTCATTCATTGTAGCATATTTCTATTGGAAGCAATTAGGAGGGTTGAAACATGGTTTTGAGACAATATTAGCTCTTCTTGCAAGCATGTTAGGATATGTATCATGAAGCTTTTCCTTTATTCTTATCTAACATAAGAAATTGGAAGGTTTATATGGTCTTTCACGCATGTGGGGCTCGATTTTAGCTCCTGTGGTTGCCTCATTTGTTCGAAATCTACCCGTGAGCTTGTTGGTGGGTTATTTGGAGTCGTTTGGCTCTTTCTTGCTGTACTCAATTAGCTTATATTTTGTTGACGAATCAAGTTTGTCATCCCAAATATTATAATTATTTATAATCATTTTAGTTAACCTCTTATGTATGTCGGGGGAGCATAGCAACAACTAGTGGTTCTTTTGGTTGCCTCGTTGCCTCGACCGTGAGCCTTAATAGCTCCCCCTTTCCTTTTTTGGTTGTCTTAGTCCAGCTGTCCCTTTTTGACCTGAGCGTGAGCCTTAGAAGTTGCTTCTCTTGTGGGTTGCCTTGGCCGAGAGCCTTAGCTACTGTTCATCTCTTTGTATTAACCCCGGCCGTGAACATTTATTTGATTACATGGGAAAATTTTATGCTTATTTGATATATGAGGCCATGGAAGTTGGAAGATCCTCATTTTTGCATGGGTTTGGGAGTACTAGTGACGGTATTCTCCGAGTTATTTTTCTTTTGTGAAGTTTGGGAGATTTCTGAATTTTATTTCGGGAGAATACTTGGTTGAGCGAATTGATTTCATAAAAAATGTCTTTGGGTGTTGGACACCGATGTTAGGAAGTCACTGGTGTGTGAGGCCATTTTGACTCGAGTTAAGCCATTTATAAAAACGTGAGAAAGTGATATCCTTCTGGATTGATTCAAGGATCTTTGGGTCTTCCTTTTCAGGTCTTTTCGTTATGAGTTTTGAGAGCTGATTCATCCTTCGTTCTTTTTGATGTTTTAGGTGGATCGATCTCTCCTCTCTCTCACCCCATTTTTGTTCCTTTTTTTCTTGTTTCTTGGTTCGGCTTTTGATGCTTATGTCTGATACATAAGTGTCAACGTATAGCCTTTTGCTATACGTGAAACCATCAAACAATGTCGCAAGTAGGTCGGTTTTGTTTTGGGGCTCAAGGCGGTGATGACAAAGGCACATAGAAGATAAAGCATAATTATGTCATCCTACGACATCAGGATCCGATTCACGAACCCATCAGGATCCGATTGCATCCTACGACATCAGGATCCGATTCAGGAACCCAGCAGGATCCGATTGAGGAACCCGACGAGCTGTAGGATGACAATATCATTCACCGAAACAAGACTAGCGGGAGTTGACCCGAACCTTCTTAGGTTGTTGGTAGCCTTATGCCTGACAACGCGATCGACTCGTGGACAACTACTTTTTAAAATTGATAAAAACAAATTTGATAAGAACAAATACACCTTTTTCTAAAACAAAAATACACTTTTTGCTATAAACAAAATTGATACAGTCCACTTTTGCATGTTTGAAACCTATGTGCATGCTGAAAATATAAATTTTAAATACATTTTAAACATCGGCTGTCCATTTGTTGATCACATGTTTAGGCTGAGGAGTACCCTCCTGAGTTAGGTTTGATAAGACACCCTTTTAGTTGAGTGGTGAACTTTATACATCTGGGTGACCGAATAGCCTTCGACGACCCTCGAATATATAGTTGAGCCTAGCCCCGATCCGAGTGCTTGCGGTCCCCCCTTTTCGGACTTTTTTTTTCATATGTATTATTAAATTTTTTTTGGACAAAGCACTTGTGGTCTTTTTTCGGGATTTTCCCGTGTTTTCTACGATTTTAATCGATTTGTTGATTCGTCGATTTCCTCTCACTTCTCTTGTCGTGAGTCTTTTAACGATATTTCTCGAGAATTTTGGACGATGTTTCTTTGTTTTTCGCTTATATAAAGCATTTCAGCCCCGTTCCTCAAATTTTGTTGTTTGTACCTGTTGCATCAATTACACCTAAGGAACAGCGGATCTCCCAGGTATACAGGTCTGTTTTATGTTTACAACATGTTATTCTCTTATAATCACTTCCCTGCTGTACCTTTTACTTTTCTTTACATCGCATGTTGTACTGTTTTCTTTACTACAAACTCTACTACTTGTTCTGTGCTACATACTCTACTGTCATGCTATACACTGTACAACTTCAACATGTTATTTATAAATATCTGAAGAACTACAATCATAGGCCGCTGGATTTGACATTATAACCTGACACCCTATAAAACTTAAACTCGTCACGTCAAGGAGCTTGGAACTAGCGCGGTGGGCAGTATGATATAAAACTTAAACTCGTCACGTCAAGGAGCTTGGAATTAGCGCGGTGGGCAGTATGATCATATTCAATAGCAGACATGTCTTCCCCAGCTAAACCAGTCATTTCCTAGAAATTAAAATAACAATCCATAAGATTTCGAGGTTGTTCGCCTAGTGCAACATAAATCTTCAACATTTTCGTTAGACATTTGTATAGCTCTGCTATACGATCTAAGCCCTAATTCGATTTAGGATTTGAGGTTGTCGTTCGTTACGACCTAAATCCTCACATCTTCTAGGTAATTTGTGTGATCGTTTCACATAAATGTAAGCCCTAATTAAATAAAATTGGCAGGATGAAACACTTGAATATTTCTCCTCGAAACTGAATCCAAACCATAGGGTAGACTGGGAAGTCACCGAGGATCTCCTCACCGAGGTCACCGAGGATCTCCTCTAGATCTGTGACATCCCCTAGTTCTTCTTCCTTTGGATTCTGTAATAAATGTTCCAAACTCGAGTCATTCCCTTTTCTTATTCCCCTTTCACACCTCTTTATCCGATCTCATTGAAAAGTCCTTATCCTTTGAACTCCTTTAAGATAATGTCCCCTTATTTTTATTGAGTAACTTTGATCATTTAAGATGTAATTAACTATAAGGGCTTGCCCTTATAGGAAGCTTTTACGAACCCAGCTTAAAATAAACCCTATTTAATTTTTCACATTAAATAGGAGAATTTGTCGGCAAATAAAATGGTT